ACTGTTCCCAAATGACTGGAAAGGGCAGGGTGGTCTGCTTGAGGTGCCACCAGCGGTTTGCTTCTCCTAGAATCATGTAAGTAGCAAGGATGACATTCTATTCGAGAATCACTCCAAGAGTCTTTAATGTCTTCTCTGTCTCAATTAACCAGAACTTGGCCTTTTTAAAGGAGGATTCCCCTTTCTATGTAGCCTGGGTCCATCATGAGAGGACTTAGGTCCCGTGGATGATGGATTGGACTGTGTTGAGGATGGACTGGATGACCCTGCAGTGGTACTTGATGATACAGTGGAGGCACCAAATTGTACTGTGGTAGTGCCGGGTGATGCGGCGGTTGGGGCACCGGATCATACTCTGCTGGTGCCGAGTGGTACTATGGTGGAACAGGGTCATACCGGAGTGGCTCGAGAACCTCCAACTACGGGGTGGCTCAACCTGTGGTAGTGGTGGAGGGTCAGGTAGCTCCATCATTTCCTCCCAGGCCTGCTGGGCAACAATGAGTCTGTCTACCATCTCAAATAAGTGGTCAACATCCTCTCTAAGTAAACCCTCCTAGGCTGCTTAGTTTAGTGGGGGTCTTTCTCTCATCATCTATCTGTACCTACATTTCATAAGGAATGGTTGAGTGATAATTCATTATTTTTTTGATGTTTTCTAAGAATTTTGTGTAAGGAATAAGTCCGGGGAACGCGACTCTAATACCAACTATAACAACTCCGAAAATTCTAAATGAAATAAATTATGAATTAAGTGCGAAAGTGGAATAAATAGTTAAGGTTTACATTCCTTACACAATAACTTAAAGTACTAAATAGTGTTAGGAGAATTACCCTTTTGGAAGAAATACAAAAAAAAGGAAATAAACAAAAATTAAATAAAACTAGCATCTTATTCGCAACCCTCTTGTGGATCGGCCTCCGGATCCTGGTTCTCTTGATTTGAAATGGTCAAATAAGGAATGAGCTACACTAGCCCAGTAAGAATATCACGCTACTTACCGACACAGAAATGAAGGTTGGTAGAAAATCAAAATAACTAATGGAGCTCTTAATTAAATAAATTCATTTATCAACAATAAAACTATTTACCGTCCACTTACCGTGGCGAGGTTTACAAAAACAATCTATATAAATAATAACATCATACATATCATGATTTCACATGTAATCGGCAACATAACACATTTTATACTTTCATATTCAAATAACCAAAACAACTACTGTCCTTTTTTACCAGTCTGCTGGTATCCATAGGGGTTCATAGGGATGTCTCTGTTATCCGTGAACTATTTCCTTTAATATTCTCAATTAACGGGTCATTTCCATACCCCGTCCGATATGAACACCAAATTACTAAACCTCAATACATCGTTCGCTATGAGGGTGAAACGGGTCGTCCTTATATCCCGTCTGGTATGAGCACCAAATGACCAGGTCTTGATACCCTGTTCGGTATGAGACAATGTTCACTTAGGGTTCCCTATTGTACCCGGTCTGTCTACCATCTCTCAGAATATCCAGTAAGGTTGTCGTTCCATCCATTCACTTAATCACAAAATTTTTCGTTTTTCTTCAGTCTCCATTTTCCAATTCAATAGTAATCACATAAATCAAACAATACAAGCAATCAAAACTATAAAATCGATCAATGAAATACTATCATGCAATTAATTGTAAAATAATTCAACAGAATCAATAATATATAATTTTCGGTTCTACCTCAATTAGTAACCTGTAATTAATTATGTATATTTTTTAAATTACACAAAATACCGTATTATTATTTATTTAAACTTCAATTCTATAACAGAGAATAGGGTGAGGAATTCTTACTCAATTTGATGCTCGAAAGGTTAAACTGTTGACTGTGCCTACAGACGGTCCCCAGGTTTCCTAAATTTTTCTTCGAGAATTAAAATGCGCTATAAGCACCTACAAATGTCCTAAAAAACTCAAAATCAGTCTCAGGACCCAATTTTGGCCAATTCCAGAGTTCTGGCACCGTGGCTTCGCCGATGGCACCGCCACCCACGGTGGCAGTCCGTCTTAGGTCAATTGTTTTCGGTCGATTTTGGATCAATTCCTGCGAGAAAATACATTAAGGGGTCTCGGTTGGTCAAAAAAATACAAAAACCCGAAACTCACTGGCGGCGAGGCTCTTCGGTGCGGCGGCTCCTCCTCTAGCTCATGTTGCGATTGGGTGTTTTGCTCCAGTCAACTTGTAGAGAAGGAAACGGTGATCACAATGGTGAAAAAATTACATCGAGCGAGAATCCGGAAGGCAGTCATTGGAGATGTTTTGTGAAATTTCCCACGGTGACGCTGCCGAGCTTCGCCCGCGGTTTCTGGCCAATCGACCAGTTCTTTTGCTTTTATTTAGCCATGAGGGTGTTTAAAATTGAATTCCGAGCAAAGAAATTTTTTTTACCTCTTTTGATGGTCGGAAGTAGCTCCGGTATGGTGTCGGGTGGCGGTAGCTCGCCTTCCCAACGGCTAGGTCTTCTTTTCCGGCAAGGGTGTCTGGCGGTTAGGATTAGGGTTTGGTGTGAAGTGGGTTATTTATATCTGTTTTCATTTAATCTAGACCGTTCATCGTGTTTGATCTTGACTATCCGATCGCAATTAAATAGGGAGTAAATTTGGACCGTTCATCGCGATCTAATTTGAACCGTCCGATCGCATTTAAATCTTACTGTCTGATCATGTTTGGGGAGGGAATGCATCCAGGCTGTCCGTGCGCGTGAAAATGGATTTGGGTCATTCGATCGCGGACACGCGGATCACCTGCGTAGCCTCTCGCATGGCACCACATCAGCGTTCGTTGCCACACGACGCGTTATGGTTCACCGGGGCTACTGACCGGGCGTCCTACGTGGCACAAGTCTTCTAAATTACATTTTGGTTCATGTTTTTCGATTTTTCTTTCAAAAATATCCTCAAAACCTAAATTTTTACTCTTTTTCTCTAAAATTGTTTTCAATTTTATCCTATATCAAACTTTCTTCATTTTTACACTAAATTAAAATTTAAAAAATTAAAAAAAAATTGCATAAATTAATTTAATTTACATTAAATTAAAATTGGGCATTACAATAGAAACATAAAAGTTATGGACCCATAAATTGATTAGTTAGTAACTCTTTAAACGTATAGATTTAACTCTTCAAAAGCAATTATGAATTTAATGCTTTAATTCGAATTTTCATCATTTCAAATCTCTTAATTAAATTGTTTTGTCAGATACATTGCACAAAACTCTGTTCATCGTTTTTTCAATGGCAAAAAAGAATAGTTTGAATTTTTAATTTATTATAATTAGTAAAATATAATGGTTATATAATATTTTTTTATTTAAAAATATAATAAAATAGCTGATAATTAACTCAATTTAATTATCAGAGCACATACAGTACAATAATGAATTAAGTTATTAATTCTACTAAATCTAATATTATAAGTCAGTTATCCTCAATTCATATACACTTATAAAATAATAAATTTTATATATTTATTAAAATTTAAATTTGTTATATTTACATAAAATATAAAAATTTTCAGCAACTAAAATACTAAATTGTTAATTATATAATTATTTACGTTAATGACCATATAAATGCTACAGAAATATTAATTAATGTTTTTGTATCATCCATTTGTGTGACTTTATTAGAATTTTGAAATTAAAGATATTGGGAGAATAATTTAAGAATGCGACATGATCTATTTCATTCAATATTTTGTTAAAAAAAAATAATACGTTACAAAAATAAGTTGAAGAAATAATTATTTAAATTAAATTACAATTCTCAAACATGATAGAGTATTAATTTGCTTAAAAACAATAACTTGTTTCCAACCTCATATTGTCACCCCTAAAAAAACTAAATGATTTATATAATATTCAAAACAATAAAAAAAAATGCATTATGTTCACAAGATCGCAATATGATACTTTAATTATAGATTTAAAGTTAGACAACTCTTGAGTTCAAGCTTATTTTTCAATCCATCTTCCTAAAACAAGTCCAATTTATTTTCTTGTATTCAAGAATAGTGATGAAAATCTTAGGGAACACAAGCATAACTTGAAATTCAATTGAGTGTTTATGTATGCCGATGCTTATTTTTGGTTAAAATTCAAAACTTGAACTCATACTTACCAACGAAATTGAGAAAATATTTTCAAAGTTCATTGAGATTTTATAGAACAAGAAATATATTACCTCAATTTTATTTCAAACTATTTAAACACTAAATTTTATAATTTTATTTATTAAAAAATAAATAAAATCTACAAACGAGATCCTAATAAATAATCAGACAAACTAGAATCTAAAGAGTAATAGTTCCATACTCTTACCAAAATAAGTTGTTAGGGGAAAAAAAAAAATAGTAATTTGACAAGGGAATTTCAAGTTTTTGGCTCCACATCTATGTGCTGTTTCTCCATCAGGGGGGCCAACGTACTTGGGCCATCATTGCACTAGAACCCATTTGTTTTTTTACAAGCCAATAATGAAATTAAGACACTCTCAATTGTTCATTTGATAATGGCCCAAAGTGAATATGGGTTATGGTTTTCCTAGTTCAAACACTGTTTAGAAGCAAGAAGTTTCCTAATAAGAAGTATAATTACATTTTTATAAAAGAAAAAGAAGTATGATTACATCAAAGATATGCGTCTTAACATCAGCAAAAATTGCAGTCTACCACCTAAGAGCAGCATTCCTACAGATCTACCAGTTTGGCACGCCATTTCCAATTTCTTGAAGCAAAATCAGGCCTTTCAACCAAATATACCTGATTCTCTAGTTCTCCTCAATTGTCCATTTAGACCCTATGAGCTGATAAGTGTGTTAAGTTGAAATGCAGGTGCCTCCAGATTGTGGAAGAGACACAGCTTCACCACTTCACTAACAATTACTGTGTTGGAAATTGAGGAAACAATCTTACAAATATAAGATAAATGTCTGGAAAGACAGACAATCTATTTCACCCTCTCAAGTCACTGTAGCCTTTGCAGAGATATCTTTATCACATAAGCTCCAAAGAAGCAGGATTCGAAAGAAACAGGGTTCTAACTGCGGCTTCTGAGGTTTCTACTTATCATGCATAAGATGCTTTATATTAATAACTAGAAATATTCAGTTAGATTATCCCCTCAAGTAAACTTAAAGTGAAGGGCCCATCAAAATGAAAAAAGAAATATAATTCATATCTTAACACATCTTACCATCAATTGGCAGATACAAGATTAACGTTTCCTCTTTCTCTTAGTATTTTTGTTAGTACTAGTATCAGATTGTGAGGATTGCAACTTTGCTCCTATAGCAGAACTCCACAGCGCTCTTTCTACATCTGAAGGCGTGAAAACATCACCTTCAGAACTTAACTCCTGCAAAAAAGCAAAAAGAGATTTCCCCAGATAAAGAGGCAGCAATAATGAGTAGTAGACTGTAAATTCATCTGAAAATAAGATTATTTATAATGTGATAATGTAGAATTGCTACAGATAGCAAAACTGAAATAAAATATGCAACGAGATAAAGGTGCATTCATCCAGCATCTGTAATGCACATTTCAGTTCAAGGAAAATGGCTTGATTCTTAAGAAAATACATCATTAAATCTCTCAACAATTGATGCCCAGTTTCAGGTATCAACTTATTTGGTTTCTGCGGGAGGAAATTAAATTAGGATTTCGCTCCCATTTAGGATATCATAAATTACCAGTGGAGCAATTAACCCTTTTAATGGAAAGGAATCCAATATCAATAAATCAAGTAAAACTTGTTATTTATTAATTAATAGCAAATCTTTCCAACAAATTTTTAGCATCTTCATTTGAAGTTTTTTTCAAGAAAAAAATCTCCACTTGAAGATATTTAAATACTTTCAATAAAACTGGTTTCCAAAATGATTTTCCATCACTCATGGGCACTAGCAAGCTTGACTGGAGGATCAATCACACAGAATGAACCAAACATCAGATTGCCAAGTTTAATTCTAGAAGCAGTCACGAAGCCAACAAAAAATATGGATGAACTAACTCAGCAAGTTATCGTCTTTTTTTTTTTTGAAATAACAGAAATTCATTGTCTTTAACCGCTCTAAAGTTATATTCCCCTCCCAGCTTAGAGAAATTTTCTTGATTTCCATGCGTATAACATTTTTAAAGTAGTCAGCATCTACAACTTATAAGGAACTTCATCCAAGAATTAATGGAGCTAATCAATCAGTAAATTTTTCTTCTAATGAGTATGGAACAGCGAGATTCAACTGGCTGCATTTCCAAACATCATAGATAGTTGAATGAAGTCTTAAGAAAGGGAAAAAAACAAACAATACCCTCCTTCTCACATGGTAAGTCTACTTTTTGATATAAAAAACTAGTGTTATTCGTGGGGTGTCCCAGCAGAGAATAGTAGGCAAATTGCCATTTCTGCCAAATTGACGTCCTTCTACATAATGTTATGAAAAAGGAGGTTGCTTAGAAATTTATTCTTCTGTTAATTAAGGACTCACTCACACCACCAACTTCTGGAAGCCAGACAAAAACACGTCATCGTTAGCATCTGGAAACAATAAATTTCATGTCAATGAAAATGAATAATATCCAGTTTCCTATCAGTTGAGATTGAAAATCAAGTCTCCTAAATGAGGTCATCAAATTAAAATAAATAAATAAATACTTGTGTGGTCCGCAAATCTCCAAATAAAATTTGGCTAACGTTCAGGATATAGTAGAAAAATAACTGCTGAGCTACAGAACCTTATAATTGCATTGAATTCAACATCATCAAAGCAAATAAATTTGTCTGAAAAATTAGAAAACACAGTTCCCCGACATAAAATATTGTAATAAAGAAGATATATCTAAATCATTTACGGGACAACCCTTTCCAAAATGACTTTTCATTGACCAGCCATGATCAGCCGTAAAATTGTGACACAGTTAAATCTTCATCTTTACCAGTTTTGAAGTGGTATACTCCTTGCCCAAAAGAAAGTGTTTCCTACTTATTAATTTTCAAATGCACAAGATTTCAGAGTAATCAGCATCTAGAACCTTCATAGGAACTAAATTCAAAGATTAATCACAACTTCACCCAATAAGTTCGTCATTTATGACTCTACAAATGGAGCAGTTGAAATTAAAGGGCCATGTTTACAAAAATAGGAGATAGATGAAATGGGAAGTAGTATCATTCTCCTCCCTTTGGCAAGTTTAATTTCAGATAAACACAAAATATGTAACATAAACAAGCTACCATGAGTCCATGAGACTATTCCCTAAGTCCCATCACAGAGACTACCGGGTTTGCATTATACCATAAAGAGTTCAATTTATAAGCAAACAACCCATGACTCTCCACCAAGTATGGTGGGGAAGGCTATACGCTGGGATCCATTGCCCTAAATTACAAAGAGCAGTAACCCCTTAACAAGAAAAGGGTGGTCAGTTTATAAATTTTGTTTTTCTGAAATTTTAACTTTAAGAAAGAACAAAATCGACCATCTTCTGTAAGCTTTACAAAATACGTCAACATTAAAAAAAACCCAAAAAAATCTGTCCTTTCTGAAAGGAAAATGAAGAAATATGGCTTCTTAACCTCTCAGATAACATTGAAATTTGCTAGATCAGCCAAAAAAATGAAACAAAAAGTATTTCTGGGTCCCCATACCTAAACAAATAGGCCCAAGTTCTATGCTCCACATGTTATCGGTATCATGTTCTTTAAAAAAAAAGTTATTATTGATATAATGGTACAGGACATTAATAAAAACAACATTTCTCAACGTTCATCCGGAAAATTATTCTCGGCATGACAATCAACTAGTTAAATACTTAAAATTTCATGTCAATGATGTTATCGGACGTTGGAATAAATACACTGACTGGGCCTTTAAAGAATGGAGAACTGGACCCCTACGATATGTGATGTGACAATCTCATGAGTAAAATCCATTCTGAATCATTATAGATTAATGTCTAACACAAGAAGACAGGGTTCATTCCCAGAGACTTCAACAATAATATTCCATTCCCTACAATAATTCATTTTAAATCACTTTTCGACACCCATCAAGATCATTATCCAGGAGCAATTATAATATTATCAGAAGCAAAGCCCTGCAATTATGATAGGTCCAATTCAAACGTCTATTAAAACCTATGAAAACATAATTTAAAAGTGAACCAATCACATTTATGAAAACTTCCATTCATCTATACTCCTTTGATCACTTTAACATATTTCCTTATCCAATCATCCCCTTCCTCGACACAAATACAAGAGAAACAAGTAACACAAAAGACAACATATTCATTGATCGTACAGTTAATGAAATTTAAATTAAAAAAAAAAATCACTAACCTCCGCTTTTGTCTGTAGTTTACTAGCAAAAAACAAGTATTGCTTCAGCGAATAATCTTTTGAGTTGCCAATAGCTGCCTCCATGGCCTTTTCATCATATAATTAAGGAATTTATTGTTCAGTATGCTATAAAAAATGAGAAACTACAAGATAAACGAATGGCCACATTTTGGATTTTACCTCGTCGGACATGAATGGCGCCAGGTGGGGCGCGTAAGCAGCCAAAATGGCGGAGGCAGTCGCGGGACCCACCCCCTTGAGCAACGTAAGCTCGTTCACAGCTTTAGAAATATCCGGCAGAGATTCAAAAGCCTTTTGAGAAGATGATTTCACCAACTCCTCATCCAGAGCCGATACGAAATCCAACAAACGCGGCCTTAATCTCATACAAGTAAAACACAATCTACTGAGTCTGAAAGTAATGTAACTACACATACTCGTAGAAGAAACATACATACATACATACTTACTTACATACATATAGCGAGAGAGAGAAAGAGAGTGAGAGAGAGCATACCGCCATTTTCCGCGAGTGAGTTTCCATTGCATAAGCTGGGAGAGCTCGGAAGTGGTGATGTAAGGGTTAGGGTTTCGTCGGTGAATTAGAGATTGAAGTTTTTCGCGGTAAAATTCTTCTAAGGATAGAAGTTTTGGCTTGTTCAGAGATTCTATTCGAGACTGGTACGAAGAGAGAGCTTGCTTCCATAGACTCAGATTCGAGCAATCGAATTCCAAATCCATTTCACTGTTAACCAACAGAGATCAACACCGGAAAGCAGTCTTCTTCCCGCAAAGCATCTTTTATATTATTTAAATATTTATTCATGACTGGTTTTGAATTTTTCTTTTTCTTTTTTTTTTTTTTCATTTTCTGAAACTTCAGAAATGGGCTCTTCTAATTATTAGCTTGGGCCAATTATTCTACTCCCTATAGTTTTATGGGGCCCGTTAAAACTATTAGTAAGACCGTCCCATTTGAATTTGATTAATTTGAAATTTAAATAAATTATCTAAGTAAATTTCCATTAACTATAATTTTATATTTAAACTATAATATGTACATAATTAATTAAGATTTTTATTAAAATTATAGTTTATAAAAAATATAGTTATTTATTAATAGTACATATTGATGTGTGTATTCATCAATAATTATTATATTTTATATGTTGAATTTTTAGTATACCACGAATATTTTTTACATTATTTTTTTTCTTTTAATCAGGACACATAAGTCGAAGAAAAAATAATAATTTATCTCTTAATTTCATGTGATATATATTAAAAAAATACATGTTTATTTGTTTATAAAATATTGATTTGACAATAACTAGCCAAATAGCATCATATTCAACTAAAACTATAGGAAATATTAAGACCTACTATTGATTAAAGTTTGCATGCATTGAATTCATCATATTATTAAAATCAAATCAAATTAATATATTATTTATTTAAAAATAATAATTTAAATTTTTAACTCGTTATAATTATTACATATAATAAAATCTAATCGTCAATAAATGTTATTTTTATTTAAAAATATAATAAATTTATTGAAACGTAATTTAATTAAATTATTGTAATTCTGTTAACGTCTTAAATTTTTAAATTAATTAAATTAAAATTTAAAAATTAACCACAGTAAATCAATAATACAATTATAAAATATCAACTTCTATCTAATTAATATACTATTTTTTAAAATCAGCTTTATCCTTTAGTTTAATATAATTAGGTATAATTCGTTATAAGTTTCTTTTAATCAATGCATTGAATTATCAAAATTTGTCATTATTACAGTGAATGCATTTTATTCACAAAATAATTATTGTTGTTTTGAAAAATTATTGAACTGGCCCACGTTTGAAGATAGTTCATAGTTGATTTTAAAAATAATAATTGTTTGAATAAAAATTCATATATTTATAATTAAATGATAAATATGTACTAATCATAATAAATCATAAACGATTTTAAAATAAAAACATATATAGTAGTATGACCTAATTTTAAATCTATATTTTTTTTATAAACGAATTAACGTATAAATTATAAATTAAGAAATGATTAGTACAATTTATAGTAGAAAAATATGTTCTAAAAATAATAGTTAGAAATTCAATTAATTGAACATTCTACTCTAGAAACATTATCTTATAATATTTTTTTTTAATATTTATATAATACCCGACTCCAAAAATTAATATGAGATGATATTTACAGATTATGAATATATATATATAATAATTGAAAATATATTTTATTTTAATTTGATTGAATTAAAAAAAAAACGAATTATGAACGAAATTAAAAATAATTTTGGGAAGAATTGGTGAAATTTTAAATAGACTGTTTTTGAAAGAAAATTTAAAAACATGAGGTAAAATTGCAAAAAGGAGAAATTCGGTCATGTAGGACGGCTTGGTCAGTAGTCACGACGAACCGGAGCATGTTGTGTGACAAAATACGCTGACATCAAGGCCACATGTAATGCCCGGAGAGAGGGGAAAAAAAAAAACGCC